GCAATATGGTTCATGGGGTCACGAAGAGTCGGACACGACTTAACGACTAAACAACAACACCTGTATTCCATCACATACAGTTAAAGCCATCAGAGAAGAAAGCTTCCTGCCCCAGCAAACTGCTGAAAATAGGAAGTCTACAAGAATGTAAAATTAGAGACATGCAGCTTGAAGTTGATGGTAAATTGTCCATTCTTTTATCCTGCCACATTTAGTTGTCCTAATGATTGTAACCTACAAGCTGCTCGTACTCGTAAAGTTGCTGTCTACATTAATTATTACTAACATTTCTGTGCTGTTCCAACCAGTTCTGAGTAGTGTGATACACCAAATATTATTAAAAAATATACATATTTAATACATGTTAAGCTTCCATTAACAGATCTGGATATGTCACAGCCTTATGACTAAAGCATAAAACTTAGCAATTACAGAAGTGATTTCAGGACACCTGTCATTTAAAAAAACTTCTAGATAACATTGTTTGGTCAGCCTTTCCATTAGAGGGAGAATTGAGAATGTAGTTTCACATAGAATTTACACTATAGAAAAACATGTAATAGGGTTTGGGGTACATTGGAGGCACAAGGCAGTTACCTAAGTGCTATAGGGATTCCTTTGTATCTGCCATCCATAATTGCAGAAGGGAAGGTGGTAGTAAATGCTTCAGAAAAAGCCTATTGGCAGCGCATATAGGATAATGTAAGTAGTGGGCCGTTTGTGATTTGGTTAACTGAGAAGACAATGTAACTCCTCTGTGGGGTGCTGCAGGGTTTGGTTCTCCCCTCCTTTTCAACATTTACATGAAACCACTGGGTGAGATCATCCGTCATCATGGGATGAGGTATCAGCATGCTGATACTCAATTATATATCTCCATCCCTGGTGAGGTAAGTGATGCTGTGACCGCCCTCTTGCGGTGCCTGGAGGCTGTAAGGATCTGGATGGGGAACAACAGGCTCCAGATGAACCCTGGTAAGACAGAGTGGCTGTGGGTTAATGGCTCCTCTGTATCTGGGATGTTGTCACCGTTGGTGCTGGATGGGGTAGCACTGCCCCAGATAGACTCAGTGCGTAATTTGGGGGTCCTCCTGGACTCATAGCTCCTGCTCAAAGAGCAGGTGGCAGCCGTGGCCAGGAGGGCGTTTGCACAGCTCCGGGTTGTGCACCAGTTATGCCCTTTCCTGGATCCGGATGCCCTTCAGTCACTTGTGCCCTTGTTATCTCCTAGATAGACTACTGCAATGTGCTCTACATAGGGCTACCCTTGAAGAGTATCCGGAAACTTCAGCTGGTCCAGAATGCAGCCGCATGAGCTATTTTTGGGGTCCGAAGGACCCATATAACACCATTGCTCCGTGAGCTGCACTGGGTATTGGTTTGCTTCCGGGCCAACAAGGTGTTGGTTATCACCTTTAAAGCCCTACATGGCATGAGGCCAGGCTACCTGAGGGCCGCCTCTCCCCCACGATTTGAACCCGTCCCACCCAATCTCACAGGGCCTGCTCCAGACCCCCTCGGCAAAAGAACTCCGACTAGCGGGGTCCAGAAGGCGGGCCTTCTCTGCTGTGGCCCCCGCCCTTTGGAACATCTTGCCCCTGGAGATGAGACAGGCCCCCTCACTCCCGGCCTTTCGGGGGGACTTGAAGACCTGGCTCTGCCATCTGGCCTGGGGTGGGGAGGGAGGTCATCAGATATGGGGTTGGCTAGCCCCCTAGAGGCCTGGTGATGCTTCCATCGGCTTCCTGGATTTTTCCTCTTTCTTTTACTCTGTGTAAATGTGTTTTTATAAATTTTAACTGCATATTTATTTCTTGTTTTAATATGTTGTAAGCCGCCCAGAGTCCCCCATTGGGGGGAGATGGGCGGGGATAAGTTTGATAAAACAAACAAACTTGGGGGCTGCTGCTAGTTATGCTGAGTTCAATATCTTCTAATCTTTGTTTTAAAAGCTCCTTGACTTTATTGTAACAATATTTAGAAGGAAATTAAGTACCAAGGTGAACCAATTTATTAGTTACCACATAATAAGAGGGACAGAAAGTAGACCATATGTGTGAAGGCAGATAGTTCTGGTGGCTGGGATTGGGGGGGCACCATTGAGAATGCCTGACTGCAGATCCCTACAGATGGAACTCTTGGGGATGGGTCCTTCAGCAGGCTGTCTCTCCCTGATCTTATTGGATGGACAGGTTTCATTTTGGAGCAAGATGGTCTTGAAAATAAATGGGTCCTGAACCATGTAGTTCTTCAGTCGAATTGTACCCAGCAGCTATACCTGGAGTAGAGGTATGTGAATAAATGTAGGTGTGCAACTTAGCAAATTAGCTAAGGCTAATTTGGTGGGTACATATCAAACCCCCAAACGTAAAAATGATTATTATTCCTATGAAATCTTTTATGTTGTAAAAGCAGACTAGGACTTTGGAGGAAGAAAATACTGCTGAGGCAGAAAGATGATTGAAAACATTGATCTGAGCAGCCCAAGAGAGGAACTTACTGGCATTTATTTATTAGTAAGATTCCTTCACACAGAGATAAAACTAGGCTTAAGCTGATCTTACACGAGTTTCAGCAATTGATAGGCATTTCATGATTCATGAACACCCTTCAGTAGCCCAACAGACTATTGAATAGTGAAGCTTCAGGAGAGATTAGAAACGGATAGCTTGCTATAGCACTCATGTTAGACAACTTGAGGATTGCAGGCCTGCATTTCTCCAGCCAAACCATTTTAAATCTGCTTGCTGGATAAGATGTTGAGATCCAACACCCTATGTAGTGGGAAATTATCACTCTTGCAATGGAAAGCTACTTTGAAATCAATTCTGCAAGCAGATAGAGTAAAAGGTACAGGTAGTCCTTGCTTAACTCTAATTGGGACTGGTGAAGCAGTTGCTAAGTGGGAAATCACGTGACTGACTGTTTACTGGCTCGAAAGAGACAAAGCTACTCAGTTTCACACCTTCAGCTTTTGTTTGCCTCCTAACCACTCCCCTGCCCTTTGGAACGCTCTAGTGCCTGCTTATTGTCTTGTATACATTGAAAGCAATGTGTGATCCTGCTGGCAGCCCAAGGCTGGGAGCCGTGGGCACCCTACACAAACAGCTTACTCTCTTGAAATCCCTTTCTCTCCTATCTCTGATCTGTGGGGGTGGGGGGGAGAGAAAAAAAGCAAGCAATTTCTGTAGGCAATCTCTCCTTTGCCTGACCCCCCCCCCCAACAGAGCAGAAAGCAGAGAGGAAGAGATTTCAAGAGAGTAAGCTGTTTGCTCTTCTACACATTCAAAGCAATATGACCATGCTGGCAGTTGGGAAAGGGACAGATAAAGGAGAGATTGCCTATAGAATCTGGTTACTTTCCCCCTCACCCCCTCACAGAGCAGAGAGATTGGAGAGGAAGAGATTTCAAGAGAGTACTGTAAGCTGTTTGCGTTGTGCACCTGCAAACTCCCAGCCTCAGGCTGCTGATGTGATTCCATTGCTTTCAATGTATAGAGGGACTATCTACACAGCTTACAGCTTGCTTACACAGCAAACAGCTTGCTCTCTCGCAATCCCTTTCTCTCCACTCTCTCGGCTCTGCAAGGGGGGAAGAAAAGCACAGGTCAGCCACAGGACAATGCGTACTGAATGAAATGGTGATCACAACTGAGGGATGCTACGAAGGTCGTAAATGGGCCATAAAGTTATTTTTTTCAGCACCATCGCAGCTTCGAACAGTCACTGAATGAATGGTCGGTAAGTGAGGACTACCTGTATTAGGTTGTACTTAATAGTACCTGTACCCCTAGTGCCCCAGAAAGTGAATTCTGCTTCCAAATCTCCAGAGGCTGAACCATTTATGTTCCTCAAATCATATTTGATAGAAGAATTAATCTCCAAGCACCTGTAGTTATACTTTTCTTCCTGAAATGGCAATGTTCAAGTTGAAATAGCTTATCTGAATAAAAATTTTGAGTGTTAAAATGCAATGGGCCCCTTTCAATTGAGATTCAGGCCTGGGCATGGGATGGAGAAAGCATTAGTTGCTCTTCTGGATCTCTGGGGGGCAGGACGGGTAGTGTATCTGTCCTTGCTCTTCTTGACCTCTCGGAGGCCTTTGATACCATCAGCCATGGTATCCTTCTGGATCGACTCTGTGGGCTGGAAGTGGGTGGCACAGATTTGCACTGGTTCACTTCCTCTGTACAACTGTTGTGCACCAGCTGCACCCCTTTCTGGACCATGAGGCTCTACTCACTGTCACTCATGCCCTGGTCACCTCCAGAATGGATTGCTATAATGCACTCTAGACGGAGTTGCCCTTGAGGAGCATCCGGAAGCCTCAGCTGGTGCTGAATGCAGCTGCACAGTTATGTGTATCTCTAGGATGCGGCTCAACAGACAGTTATGTGTACCTCTAGGATGGCACACATTACACCTGCGAGCTGCATTGGTTGCCAGTTCGCTTCCAGGTGTAATTCAAGGTGCT